TCCGGGCTGGGGATTCGAACCCGCCACCTTAGGTGTACGTGGCTGACGCCTTAGCCGGTTGAGCTATAGGCGCCGAGCCTTGTTAACTTTTAAGAGAAAAATTACTTGTTAAATTTATTTTAAAACACCTCAGAGAAAACACATTAGAAAGTGAAAATGTGACCAATATTTGATGTGTAAAAATAAGAAGTTAATATTTCAATTCTCAGTCTTCTTTTGTCACATTTTCCCAATCACCTTCTTAAAAGAAACTAATACTCAGTAATTTTTAAGTTAAAATATCACATTTTTCCTTACATGCCTGTTTAAATCTCTAATACCAAAGGATTATTTCATTATAAAGGGAACATTTTGTCTCTGGTTTTTGCAAAACACCTCTCTTCAATGCCAAAGATAATATGATAAAGATAGAGTATTAACTGTAAGGAAGGTTATAGTTGAAATGCTATACAATTTTCAATAATTACAAACAGGTTAAATTATAAAACATTTTAATTTCAAAAATATTCTTGACTACATTATTGTATACAGCTATGATTTAATAAAAATTTAAAAAATAAGCATATGGACCGCCACAAAATGTATCAAGTTACTCACATTTGTAAAATACTTACTCTTTCAGGTTATCATAAGCTTCTTCTAGAAGTGCTTTTTCTTTACTAAGAGATAATAACTGAGCCTCTCTTTTCTCCAGTTTCTCATTCAGAAATTCAACTGTCTAGATAAAGAGAATACATGAAAGTTAAAACATTTAACTTTAAAAAAAGACCATTTTTACATGCAGGCAATGAGTAAGGGTAACCTAATCACTACAATAAATAAAACAGCACTACTTCCTAAAAATAATTAAAAACAATACTGGGAACACAGTGGATACAAAACAATAAAGCTCTTACAAAGCTGGTAAGAGAGTATAAATTCATACTCAATCACATAGCTGGTAAGAATATAAATTAACGGCTCGGCGCCTATAGCTCAACCAGCTAAGGCGCCAGCCACGTACACCTAAGGTCGCGGGTTCAAATCCCCAGCCTGGACCCGCCAAACAACAATGACGGCTGCAACCAAAAAATAGCCGGGCGTTGTGGCGGGCGCCTGTGGTCCCAGCTACTTGGGAGGCAGAGGCAGGAGACTCGCTTGAGCCCAGGAGTTGGAGGTTGCTGTGAGCTGTAATGCCACAGCCCTCTACCCAGGGGGACAGCTTGAGGCTCTGTCTCAAAAAAAAAAAAAAAAAGAATATAAATTAACAAACCACTTTGGAAAACAATTAGGCAATGTCTAGTAGGGGAGCTGCATACCTCTAAAATATTCCACCTTTGGAAAGGAAAAAACCCTCACATGACTATATACTAGGCAACACATACAAGAAGATTTAGAGCAGCCTGTATACAGTCTGTACATCCACCAAAAGAGGAAGGGAGAGAGATGAAATCAAGAATGTCAAAAAGGGGCTTCAAGCTCAGTGCCTATAGCACAGTGGTTATGGTGCTAGCCACATACACCGAGGCTGGTGGGTTTGAACCTGGCCTGGGCCAGCTAAACAACAATGCCAACTGCAACAACAAAAAAAACTAGCTGGGCATTGTGGCGGGGGCCTATAGTCCCAGCTCCTTGGGAGGCTAAGGCAAGAGAATTGCTTAAGCCCAAGAGTTTGAGGTTGCTGTGAGCTATGATGTCACAGCACTCTACCAAGGGCCACATAGTGAGACCCTGTCCCAAAAAAACAAAAGAGAGGGGGGATTTCAAAGCCTCTGGTAATAGTCTGTATCTTAGCTTAGTAATGGATATATAAGTGCCTATATTCCTTATTATTCTTTAACCCAAACATGTCATTTTCTTAGTATATCATATACTGCATTTTAAAAATACAATTTTAGAAAACCAGGGCAGTGCCTATGTGTCAAAGAAGTAGGGAACCGGCCCCATATGCCAGAGGTGGTGGGTTTAAACCCAGCCCCCGCCAAAAAAAAAAATTTTAGAAAACCCATAGGACTGTAATTTTAAAACCTCAAAAATGTATCAGTATAAAGCTAAACAAAAATTAGTGTTTAGAATACCTTATTCCTTAGGTCCTACTAATGTAGTGATAAACTTATGTATACAAAAGGGAGGAAGGGTGCCTTTTGGATTCAAAAACCAAAAGTCTTACCCAGGAGGCTAGGTCTAGATTAATTCAGAAATCAATTACCTTCTTAAGTATACTGAAAAACTAAAAAATCTTTTTTTTGTTGAGACAGAGTCTCACTATGTTGCCCTCGGTAGAATACCACGGTCGTCACAGCTCACAGCAAACTCAAACTCTTGGGCTTAAGCTATTCTTGTGCCTCAGCCTCCCAAGTAGCTGGGACTACAGGTGTCAAAAATATCTTAAGTATAGTAATTAATGTTGGTTTTTAGGAATTCAAAGTGCTATCATATATTTTATAGTGTATAATTATTACTCATTGGAATAATATTGCTTGGGATTTTATTTCTGAATAATATTAAACCTAGGTAACCAATTTCACACTTTTTATATTAAATAAGTCAATACATTTCTTCAAGGCATCCTATATTTCAGAAGTCTATCAGAGATGCCAGATCCAACTCAATTTCTATCTAAAAAAATCATAGGAAAAACCCAAAGTGTGACTCAATCTCAGTAAAAGAATTTACATCACTTTACTTTTGTATGTATTAGGTAGAAGCAATCTGCCATTCCTAAGCAATGCCTTTGTTTCTTGAACATTTCCTTTTTTCATTCAGGTGAGATATAGCTATCAACAGGAGATATCAAAAGTGACACAAAGTGATAATAAACTGAAGTAATATAAGGAGATATATTCCTTATATAGCTATGAAAATATTAATACTAAAATATTCATAGAAAAGCATGAATAACTAATATAAAGACTAAATTCTCATTTCAGATCTGCTACAAATAAGTGTAAACATATAAAAAACAAATTCAGATATAAGAAAAACCAAACATTTAGGTTTATTTTGGTCCATCTACCTGCAAAGGGGTTGAAGATACTTAACATAAGAAAACAGTCCTTTGGAGACTGACATGCTAGTAAGCATAGCATAAGAGAATTTTAAGGTGATAAGGACTTAGCAATAGAGACATAAGATGGAAATTTTTGTGTTTAGTTATACTGAAATAGCAACTTACTCTAACATAATTGCCTTGGGGAAATTTCAAATAGTATCAGTAATTGTTCAATTTTAAACAATTCAACTGTCTAGATAAAGAGAATATATGAAAGTTAAAACATTTAACTTTAAAAAAGACCATTTTTACATGCAGGCAATGAGTAGTAAAGGTAACCTAATCACTACAATAAATAAAACAGCACTACTTCATAAAAACAATTAAAAACAATTTTGGGAACACAGTAGATACAGAACGATAAAGCTCTTACAAAGCTGGTAGGAGAGTATAAATTCATACTCAATCACATAGCTGGTAAGAATATAAATTAACAAACCACTTTGGAAAACAATTAGGCAATGTCTAGTAAGCAATGTCTAGTATGCTGAAATGTCAAAATATATGTTTTCTAAAATTGATACTGATTATTACGTACCAAAGAAAACATTTTAAAACAAATGATTTACTCTCTAGAAGGCAGGTCTAAAAACATCCCTTCAATTCTATAGAGTTACCTTGCAAACATCTTCCTTCTCAGAAAGCACTTCTGGCTGACTTTCAGAAGCTTCACATTGCTCGGCCACCTTGTCTGAGACAGTCTGTCCTTCATTTATTGGTGCAGGAGAAACCAAGGTATCAGGCTGTTCACAGTTAACAGGAGTTGCACTTCGTCCACTTTCTTCCATTTCTGCTTCCTCAGTGGGTATAATTAATGTTTCATTTATTACTTCTTCAGATTTTCCTTCAACAGATTCAATTACCTTAGTTTTTGGTGCTGAAGGATTAACTATAATAGGCACTAAAGCATATCCCTTGCCTGACAATTCATCATCTGAATTTATTTCACTTACACTCCGGCTATCTAATGACTGCACACTAAATGAGTCTATTCTTTCAAAAGCATCAGACGAGCAGCAACTCTCAGTGAGTTTTTGAAAATCATCTAAACGATTATATTCAGGACAAGCAGACGCAGAGAGAAGCTGAAAAGATGTCTGCATCAAATGAAGACTTGATTTTGAATCTGTAGTCTCTTGTCTCGAACTTGCTGAGCTCTCACTTATCACACTTTCATGATCTAAAACTTCAATATCACTGGTGGTAGAAGTACCTGATGAGAAGGTACTCACAGGAGGGGAAGGTGTATTGCTCTGTCTGTCTTCATGTTTTTGTTCCTTAGCTTCTAAAGCCAGGTCCTTTGTTTCTGCTGTGAGAGACTGTGTAGATATATTAGATACATTTTCTGTAGTCGTTTTTACATTAACTACACTTTCAGATACTTTCAAATGAACAGTTGGCACCTTCATATCAGATTCTTTATTAACAGATTCTTCACGTTTGCCTTCAGTTTTAGTTGGTGGAGTATCTTCTGCGAGAGTTTCCCCTGATACGCACAAAGAAGAGTCATTTACTTTTGATTCATTTGTTTCAGTAGTTCTTGCCTGTCCAGTATGTAAGGATTCCTGTAAGGTGTTTTTGACTTCTTCTTCTGGTCGCTGTGATTTAGCTGGAGGTTTTGATACCACTGGACTCTTCTGAATGGTCTGGACATCCGTTGGAGAAAGAAAGGCACTGAAGAAATTTTCAGATTCATCTACTACAGTCCTCCGAACTGGCTTTGTAATTGCTTTAGGAGAGGCTATTGGTGGACTCTGAGGTTCGCTGTTTGATTTCAACCCCCAACTTGAAGTATCCCATCCTCCACTGACAGTAGGACTTATTCCTTTAACAACAACAGCAAAAAAAATTAAAAAGGAAAAGAACTCTATATATACATATATATATATAAACATTTCAAGCATCATTATAATCATTACAAATATAAATTTAGAATAAAAACCCCTATGAAATACAATCCATAATTTGCATCAGTTAAACCTCCCCCTTGCTTACCACATCATTTATAGCTCAGTTAACTTTGGGCCTTAAATCAGAAAAGTGATGTTGAATCTGCCCAGAGAAAGTTGGAGCATAGATAAAAGAGTAGACCTAGCCTAGACTACCAGAAACAAGTACATTTTTCCCTCCCACAACAAATTAAGGAAGTAATGGCATATGTTTTTATAACACATGGTTAAGTCCAAGATAAATATGATTCATTTCATATGTTCATTTCATTCATAGTAAAAGGCAGCATACTTACTTTTAAGCAATGTACAGTCCCTACAAAATGGCCCTACTTATTTAATCAGTTTCATGTTAATTTTATTCTTATAAAATCAATAGTAAAATATAGGTATGAGCTATACAGAGGGCAACACTCAAAACTGAAGCTAAGACATCAGTGAAAAATGTTCTTTTCCAAACATTTAATTAAACTAATGAGAACAGTTAAGTTCTAGAGAATAAACCTATTTTCATATTGTCAATGACAATCCCATTCTCCAAGTCCCACTTACCAAACCCACTCTAAAAGAAAGTTTTCTTCCTTTTCTAAATTCTAAATTATTACAGAAATTAGAAGATCATCATGAATTTGATTTTGAAAAATGTACATTTTTAAAGAACTACTGTTCTTGTATATAGGAGGTAGGTAGCTGACATCTAGGGTTGTTGAAAAACACTACAAAGAAAATAAATAACAATCTTCTTAGAGGAAAAGATAATTATCATATCAGTCATAAAAACAGCTATTACTAAAAACCTGATGATAAAAAAATAGTAGTCACTAAAATGTTTAAAACATCTCTTTAAAATTTTTTTCTTTTATAAATTAAAAAGTGGTTGAAGCCAGGCACAGTGTCTCTCACCTATAGTTCTACTACTCTGAGAGGCCAAGGTGGGAGGACTGCTTGAGGTCAGGAGTTCAAGACCAGCTTAGCAAGAACAAGACCCTGTCTCTACCAAAAACATTACAGAAAAAATTAGGCAGGTGTGGTGGCATGCCCCTTTTGTCTCAGCATTGAGAGGTTGAGGCAGGAGGATCACTTGAACCCATGAGTGTGAGATAAGCAAACAGCACTGAGTGACACCACTGCACTCAACCCAGGATGATGGAGGGAGACTCTTCTCAAAAAAAAAGTGGGGAGGTGACAGGGGTTGATCAGTATTACCACAAATCTTATACAATTAGAAGTTGGTAAGGAGTGACTTGTGTAACTAAAAGCTCCTAAAAATTATCACCCTCTATAGTAAAGATTGTCATTTAATATGACTTCAAAGGCAATTAGGATGAAAGTATGTATTGATATAAAACTTTGGTTTGGAGACATAGTTTAACATCCATCTGTGCAATACACTATAAAAAATGAAATACAGAGAAAATAATTAAAGATGCAAATGAACAAGCAAGATTAGGTTTACTGATTAACATCATTTTAATAAATGACAGGAATTAATTTTACCTCTTGGAGAGAATAATTTATGTAATTCCAGAGGTATCTGACATTCATTGAAATTACTCAATTCTTAAGACTTATGGTCATTTTTGTAATCTAAAATTTAGGAGATGATTACTAAACATGTGTAGCCTTTCACTAAAATCTAAGTCTATCCTGGACTACCTGTTTTCAAAAATAAATTGTAAATCATAATTCAAACCCAGATTTCAGCAAACAAGTATCCTTATATTTGAAACTTACATCTTTCCTAGAGTTTAGGAATTAAAAATACGGGGTACAAGTTTAGGAATTAAAAATATGGGGTACAAACAAGTTGAGCTACTCCAGTGAGGTCGCATAATATCTTGTAAAAAGCAGTAAGACCAAGATATAGGCACATGGACCAATATATCTTAAAATAAGGTAATTCAAATTTAGGTCCTGACTTTTTTACTCATGTAAAATTAAAAACAGAAACCAGAAACAGTAGTCAAGAATAACTTATCCTTTTTCACACAGCGGGTCAATCTCCCCAAACCTGCAAATCTTCGCCCCACACATCAAAATGCTAAACTATTCCTTAAAGATTTAAGAGACAAAAGTAACTGAAAATGCCTGAAAAGTCAAACTCAAGGTCTGTGACTGACAGACTTAGGTATTTAGAAATAAAAAAGTGATACAATCCAAAAGGCGCAGGGTAGAGATTCCGGGGGTTTATTGTGCACCTCACCCCATGTGTGACCTAGAGCCATCTGGGCCTCATTTTCCTCTTCTGTACAACACAGATATTAACCAACCTAACTCAAGAGTTGTTCTTAAGACATAAAAAAGCACATTACAGCGCCATCGAGCACGAAATGTTCACTAAATGTTAGCGATTGTTCTTTCCTTCCTGGTCTGCTACACACTTCAGACCTTGGATCCAAAAGTGCCCCAGGCGCCAAGCAATTCCAAGATCAGGAAGGCTGTGCTAGAGAGGTGAGCTGATGGGGGATGCTTAGGGACAAGACCGACAAATCAAGTCCATGTCACTGAAGTCGACAGGACCCGCACTGCAGGGTCAACGGCAAGGAAGAACCTGGGGCTTGGATGTTCCCGCAGGAAACAGTAAAGACGAACGTGGAGACTGAATAAAACATTTAGGAAGGGGCCGGGGAAAAATCACTTTCTGAGAACTCTCTCAACGAAGAATGATCCCTCGCTACAACACCGTTTAACCCGTTTGCCTCTGGAGAAGAGAAGCCCGCAGGAGCCCAGCTCCTCTCCCCCTTACCCGGCTCTCCGTATGGAATGGTCTCGGCCCAGGCGCTCGGTTCGTCTTCTTGGATGTCCAAGACCCTGTCGATGGACTTCTGCGCCTGGGACAGGGCCTGCTTAGCGAAGCTGGAGAGCTGGGAGGCGTTAAACCAACTCATCGCCCCGCCTCAGCCGCCGCGGTGGCGGCGACAGCACCAAGAGAGAAGGCCTCGGGCACGGGGAAGGGTGCAGAAGAACGGCTTCAACCCCCTCTTCCCCTTAGCTGGCCCTGTCAGCGGGCGGCCATGACCGCGACTGCCTCCCGCGAGCCCGGGACGCTACCCTCAGCTCTTCCCGCACAGCTGAGCCCGAGACCCTGCATGCGCATGCGCTGGTTTGGTCCACGTACACAACAACCAAATCCGGGAGCCCAGCGTTCCGTCGATATACGGAAGAACAGGAGAAAGGAACGCTGACGTCACATCCGGAAGCCCAGGGTTGCCCTTAGTTACCGAGGAACGCGGAACAGCTTTTGTCCACCGAGTTCGTTGTTTACCTGGCAGTTCGCAGCTAGGACAACTAATAGCAGCCAGTTGCTTTCTGAGGACTAAGCGAGTTTGCACGTGTGCGCTTTCCAAGAAAATAGTTCACGTGCTAACTTGCAATCAATAATTGCAAAAGGAAGTGTGGGCTTCGCATTTCTCTTTAGCACTTTGTCTCAAACATTTAATCAGTTCCGTGTTAACTTGACCTTAAGGAGAAACCCTGGTTTGGATTTGCCTAAAACACTAGGGCTCACATAGAGACATTGCACCCAAATCCTGGAACACAGTGGTGCGGAAGGCATAACCGCACCCTCAAAATGATGGTACATACATTGCTCAAGAAAAACCTAATAGCACAGTGTTTGCCCCTCCCCATTCATATGTTGAAAACTAATTTCCAGTGCAACAGAATTGAAATTGGGCCTTTAGGATGTTATTAGATTATGATGGGCCCTCATCGATGAAATTAGAGACCTTTTAAAGAAAGTCCAAGAGAGTTGTTTGTCCCTTCCACCATGTGAGGACACAGCAAAGCGGCACCAACTCTGAGCAGAAGAGCAGCCTTTACTAGATACCAAATCTGCTGGTGCCTTGATCTGGGACTTCTCAGCCTCTAGAACTGTCGGGAAAACATTCGTTGTTTATAACCACCCAGTTTAGAGCAGTTTGTTACAGCAGTCCAAACAAACAGCTAGTAAGCACTAAAACCAGTACCTATCAATGTATATTGTGCACATTACTTAAAATATAATCTTACTTTTACTGTGTGCACTTTCTTCACACATTTGGCCTTGGGGAAGAAATCTTAAATTGGTAGTCTTCCTAATCCAATAAGCAGCTATGTTTAAACCGGCCCCAATAAGGTTAAAGACAAAATTCTACCGACATTTAAAAGTCAGATTTCATACAAAAATCCAGACTTCCATTTGCTTCAAAAAATGAGTACCAACATGGGAAATGTCAACTGGAATTGTTGCTCCCTTTCTATTTTTTTTCTTCTCTTTTTCTTTTATGAGACAAGGTTCTCACTCTGTTGCAGTGGCAGGATCACAGCTCCTTGCAACCTGAACTCCTGTGCTCAGCCTCCCTGTAGCTAGGACAAGTTTACACCATCATGCCCAGTTAATGTTTAAAAGATTTTGTAGACAGGGTCTTACTGTATGTCCTTTCCTGGTCTTAAACTCCAGGCCTCAGGCAATCCTACCTTGGCCTTCCAAAGTGCTGGGATTACAGACGTGAGACAACTGTGCCCAGCCAGTTACCCCGCTTGATAAATAATTTTCACTCACATCAGCTTGCCACAGACACCAGTCATCTTCTTATATCCTCCCTGCTATGGTTATTTACTTTACCTTAGTGTTTCACCCCACTGCAAGGAATTATGCCATAAAAAATTTTTTTCTTTAAAAAAAAAATCAGATTGAGGGCAGCACCTGTGGCTCAAAGGAGTAGGGCACTGGCCCCATATGCCAGAGGTGGTGGGTTCAAATCCAGCCCTGGCCAAAAACTGCAAAAAAAAAAAATTCAGATTGAAACCCTTAAATTATGATCACCTTCCAATAGTTTCATCAAACTTCAATAAAAATTTGCATGTTAAAACTTTTACAATGTAGTAACTTACACAGTAGTAATAAGTAACTAAGTTTGGCTCGGTGCCTATAGCTCAACCGGCTAAGGCGCCAGCCACATACACCTAAGGTGGCGGGTTCGAATCCCCAGCCTGGAC